CCCCCTCCTCCTCCTCCTCCTCCGCCTCCTCCTCCTCCTCCTCCTCCTCCTCCTCCTCCTCCTCCTCCTCCTCCTCCTCCTCCTCCTCCTGCTCCTCCTCTTCCTCCTCTTCCTCCTCCTTCTCCTCATCATTGTCGTCATCATAATCAGAATCGTCATCGTCATCATCATCACTGTCGTCATCCTCCTCAACCTTCTCATCCTCATCATCATCGCCGTCATCATCATCATCATCATCATCATCATCATCATCATCATCATCATCATCATCATCATCATCATCATCAACATCAATATCAATATCAACATCAACATCCACATCAACATCACCATCATCATTATCAGGATCATCAATAGCAGCAGCATCATCATCCGCAGTATCATCATCATCATCAGCATCATCATCATCATCATCATCATCATCATCATCATCATCATCATGATCATGATCATGATCAGCATCATCATCACCACAGCCATCACCACCAGCACCATCACACAACCATCATTGCTAGCATCGTCGTCACCATCATCTGCATCATCATCATCAGCAGCAGCATCATCTTTACCACCACCACCATCATCATCATCATCAGCATCATCAGCATCACCGCGTCGTCATCATCATCATCGTCATTATTATCGTTAGTTCCGTCGCCATCATCACCACCCTCATTGTCATCACGTCATCACAATCGTCACCAGTATCCTCCTCATCATCATTGCCACCCGCGTCGTCATCACCGCTATCACCATCATCATCATCATCATCATCATCACCATCATCATCATCATCACCATCATCATCATCATTATTATCAGCAGGGTCGTCATCACCACCACAATCACCGTCATGATCAGAATCGTCGTCATCGCCGTTGACATCATGATCGGCATCGTCACCCTCACCATCATCATCATCATCCTCCTTTTCCTCCTCATCATCATCAGCATCATCATCATCCTCATCCTCATCCTCATCATCATCCTCATTCTCATCCTGCCTCCTCCCCTCCTTTGCTGCTTCCGCCTCCCTCCTCCTTCGCTCCCTCCTCCTCCTTCTTGCATGAAGCCAAGCATGGCCCCGTTGGGCCAGCCTCGACGGCGAGGTCTCCTGCGGCTGCCCCTGGGTCGGTGGCAGGCGGCGGCAGCCGGAGCCGCGGCCGCGCCGCGGGCGTGGCCCACCTGTTCCGGCACTTGGGCGGCCCCGCTGGCGCGCCTCGCCCCGCTGTCCGCAGCGGGGAGGCGGGCGCGCGCGAGCTGCTGGGCTCGCGCGGCGGCCACCGAGGGGGCAGGACGGGGCGTGCCGGCGCGCCGCCTGTCGAGGGGGGTGCGCAGCTGGTTCGCCGTGGCGCTCCGCCTGGCGACGCGAGGCGCGCCCCTGCGCGGGGCTTCGCGGGAGGGCGCGAGCGTCTCCCCGGAGAGGGGGGGGCTGCTGGGGCACCGCAGCGGCCAGGGGCGGCCCCGCAGTCCGACGTTGTGGCTGCGGCGGCAGCCGACGACCAACCGGAGTTGGCTCCAGGGCCAAGGCGGTCGTCGTGCACGCGCAGCTACGACTGCTGCCAGCTTCGGCCACTGATAGGCGGCGTGACGTTTCCCTTATCCACCGACCCCGACTGGTGATATCCATGGCCCCAGCCGCCCGACGCGTTACACGTCCAGGTCGGCCATGAACCATATGCTGCTGGTCAAGATGTCCCACGTTTCGTTCTCGCTCTCGTGTTGGTGCTGGCAATCGAGGCTCCAGCCCAGGCAGTACTCGATGCCTGGCCTCACATCGTTAGCTTGCCTGCGCTGCAGCCCGTGGCCCTCCAGATTCCTCGCACCACCTCGCTGCGCGCGGTACGCATTTTTTTCGGACGAGACATGTGGCATACTGTCATGGCCTCACTGGGGGCACGCGATGACCAGGGTAGGCATGTCCACGAGGAGAACGACGAGGACGAGGCGTTGGACATAGATGTTCGTCATCGGGGCCATCTTGATTCTGGGACTGCTCGGGACTTAGCACGGGCGAGATCGAGGACGATTGCTGCCTCCTCTGCTGCAGTTCGCAGTCTCTTTCAAGGTCAGGCCTAAGGTGACGATCATGCGGCGGAGCGGCCTCCTCCTGCCAGGAGGGCAAAAACACACAGACACGATAATCGACTATTCCAACGAAAGTATACAAATTTGCCTTATGCAGTTGTGAGTAGCGCAGGTGTGAGTATCGTCTTCGGTGGAGTTCCCTATGGGGCCACGAGACGTGTGAGGGGTGTGCCGAAATGTGCTCGGCGGGCGAATGCGAACGGAGCCACTAGTGCCTTCGGTGGAGCTCCCTATGGGGCCACGAGACGTGTTAGGGGTGTGTCGACATAGATGCGGTGGGCGCGTGCGAACGCAGCCACTGGGGCCTTCGGTGGAGCTCCCTATGGGGCCACGAGACGTGTGCGGGTTGTGCTGACATGGGTGCGGTGGGCGCATGCAAACGCAGCCATTGGGGCCTTCGGTGAAGCTACCCATGGAGCCAACAAACGTGTGAGAGGTGTGCCGAAATGGGTTCGGAGGGCGCATGCGAACGCAGGCACTGGGAATTTCGGTCGAGCTCCCTATGGGGCCACGAAACGTGTGCTGGATGTGCCGGCATGGGTGCGGTGCATTCGGTGGAGCTCCCTGTTGGGAGACGAAACGTCGGAGGGGTGTGCCAAAATGGTTGCGGTGGGCGTATGCGAATGCAGTCACTAGGGCCTTCCGTGGAGCTCCATGTGGGGCCACGAAACGTGTGCTGGATGTGCCGACATGGGTGCTGTGCATTCGGTGGAGCGCCCTGTTGGGAGACGAAACGTCTGAGGTGTGTCGACATGGGAGCGGTGGGCGCACGCGAACGCAGCCACTGGGACTTTCGGTCGGGCTCCCCCTCGGGCCAAGAAACATGTAATGAGTAAGCCAAATTTGGTACGGTGGGCGCGCGCGAACGCAACCAATGGGGCCTTCGGTGGAGCTCCCTATGGGGCCTCGAAACATGATGCGAGGGGTGTCTCGACATGGGAGCGGTGGGCACACGCGAACGGAGCCCCTGGGGCCTTCGGTGGGGCTCCCTTTGGGGAAACGAAACGCCTGAGGGGTGTGCCGAAATAGGCCCGATGGGCGCATGCGAACGCAGTCACTAGGGCCTTCGGTGGAGCTCCCTATGGGGCCACGAAACGTGTGACGGGTGTGTCGAAGTCGGCGCGGTGGGCGCAGGCGAACGCAGCCATTGGAACTTTCGGTCGGGCTGCCTCTCGGGCCACGAAACGTGTGAGGAGTGTGCCAAAATTGGCACGGTGGGCACATGCGAACGCAGCCACTGGGGCTTCGGTGGAGCTCCCTGTGGGGCCACGAAACGTGTGAGGGGTGTGTCGACATGGGAGTGGTGGGCGCATGCGAACGCAGTCATTGGGCCTTCGGTGGAGCTCCTTGTGGGGCCACGAGACGTGTGAGGGGTGTGCCGAAATGTGCTCGGCGGGCGCATGCGAACGCAGTCATTGGGCCTTCGGTGGAGCTCCTTGTGGGGCCACGAGACGTGTGAGGGGTGTGCCGACATGGGCGCGGTGGGCGCATACGAACGCAACCAATGGGGCTTTCGGTGGAGCTCCCTATGGGACCACAAATGTGTCAGGGTTGTGCCGACATGGGTTCGGTGGGCGCATGCGGACGCAGCCATTATGGCCTTCGGTGGAGCTGCCTATGGGGAGACGAAACGCGGGAGGGGTGTATCGAAATCGGCGCAGTGGGCGTAGGCGAACGCAGCCATTGAGGCTTTCGGTGGGGTCCCGATGGGGTCACGAAACGTGTGAGAGATGTGCCGCAATTGGTTCGGTGGGTGCATGCGAACGCAGCCACTGGGATTTTCGGTGGAGCTCTTCATGGGACCACGAAACGTGTGCCAGGTGTGCCGAAATGGGTGCGGTGAGCGCATGCAAGCGCAGCCAGTAGAGCTTTCGGTGGAGCTCCCTCTCGGGCCACGAAACATGTCAGAGGTGTGCCGAAATTGGTTCGGTGGGCGCATGCGAACGCAGCCATTGCGGCCTTCGAAAGAGTCCCTATGGGGTCACGAAATGTGTGAGGGGTGTGCGGGCCGACATGACTGGTGCGGATGGCTGAGTCAGGGATGGGAGGAAGAGAGGGGGGTGGGGCAGGGGCAAAGAAGGGACGCGGAAAAATAAACATACAGAAAATAGGGGAAAGATAGGGAATCCTTGAATTCGTATTTGTTTGTGTGTCCCTGGGCCCCTTCTCCTCCTCCTCCTCCTCCTCCTCCTCCTCCTCCTCCTCCTCCTCCTCCTCCTCCTCCTCCTCCTCCTCCTCCTCCTCCTCCTGGCCCTGCGAGTGTCAGCGCACCCCCCCAACCGCAGGACCAGCGCGCCGCTCAGCGGTGGCGGGCCACGGAGCCGAGGGGGTGCGGCCACCGGGGCTCATAACTTCTGCTATACTAGGTAGGCTGCAGGCAGATGCGGGCACGGTGTAGGCGACCGCGAGCAAGCCCCCCCCCTTGCAGGAGGAAGCGGCGAAGTTGGACCCAGACATGATCGCATCGTCGAAAAAATCAGGACGCGAGGTTTTGGGCTATGTTCGGCCCCTGGGGGGCCCTCGCCGGGCCTCGGCGCCGTCAGAAAACGGCTCGGGACAAGAAGCGGTCCTGGGGAAAGGGTCGGGGCTTCCAGGGGCGCCGTCCTGAAAAAATCGGGGCGTCGCATGTGTGTGAGGCGAAGCTGGATGCAGTGCCAGGGCCTGGACCTCTCGCTGCGTCCCTCGCCCGCCGGGAAGCCCACCCACCTGGCAGCGCAAGAGAGTCGGCTCGAGTGCTGCGCGATCGCTCTTGGAGGGGAGCTGGCGGAGCGACGGTGCGACCCCCTGCACGTGCTGCTACGCTTCCGTCCCGGTGGCCAGTGGGCGCTTCTGGCGCTTGAAGAGGGATTCGCGGCAGGTCGGGAAGCCGTCGCCGTGCATCGCGTGCATGCAGTTGTGGACGATCGCCGTTTGGCCTTCCCAGTAGTCAGCGCACCAGTGGCCGTCGGCGAGCTTCGTGATGGGAAGGAGGTCACCCGCATCGGCCTCCGAGGCAACGAAGGCCGAGCGCCAACCCGTTGTGTGCTGCATGGAGTGCTGGGGCCCCGACGTTGCCACAGCCATGGACGATCTCCGGGGTCGCTGGCATTCTCTTCGGGAGCGTCTGGCAACGCGGCCTTCTGCCGTGTTCTGGCCTGCCCTCAAGACTTTGGCGGGCAGCTGGACAACGCTGGCGCGCATGAAGTGCAGCGAGTTCGACCGCGGCTGTGCTTGGAGGCTGCCCTGGCGAGGCAGATGAGATGGCACTCTACGGGCGGTGCCCGCGCCTCATGCCCCAGGCGCTGGTGCCCACCCGTCGAATGCCGTCGGGTCGACTCCTTGTGCCGATGGGCCTCGGCAACGACCTCGAGCACCAACAGTATGACTGCGACAGAGACTTCACTGTCCAGATGCTGGCGACGTGCCACGTCGCGTACCATGACATGATGAGCAGCTACAGCATCGACACGCTCGGCATGCCCGACTACCAGAAGATCTATTGGGATACGGCCGAGAGGCTCCGCCGCTGGCCGCGGCCAGAGGGGCCGGAGGAAGCCAGCCGCGGGTCATTGGCGTTCTTGGCCTTCGTCTCCCTCTTCCTCCTCCTTTTCCTCCTCCTCCTCCTCCTCCTCCTCCTCCTCCTCTTCTTACTCTTCCTCCTCCTCTTCCTCCTCCTCTTCCTCCTCTTCTTCCTCCTCCTCCGCCTCCGGCTCCTCACTCCGTCCACTCCAGACGAATCGAGGCCTTTGATGTGTTTGAATGTTTGTGTCGCTTTGAGGACTCGGGGGCTCCGAAGGCTTCCAGACGCCTCCAGAGACCTCCCGGGATATCAGCGACAAGGGAGTGGTCCAGCGACAAAGGGGGGGGTGCAATAGATTTGGTGCAGTAGATTTGCGGGGTTGCAGTACATTTGGGGCGTGCAATACATTCTGGGGCGCAAATGTATTGCTTGAGTTTCGCGTGCAATACCTTACCTGCAATACAATACAATACAATTCTCCGGCGCAATACATTTGCAATACAATTGCACCAAATCTATTGCACCACCCCCTTTTCAGCTGGGCCCCCTTTTGGGTCACCCAAGTTATCTGGATGTCTCTGGAGACTCCCGGGGACCCTCATCCTTAACCTCCTCCTCCTCCCCCACCCCTTTTTCATGTGATTTCTATCCAGGTTCCCCCTCCTGACAATATCCCGTCTCCTGATCCTCCCCTCATTTCTTCTCGTCACCCGCATCGTCACCATCATCATCATCATCATCACCATCATCATCATCATCATCATCATCATCATCATCATCAACGTCATCTGCATCATCAACGTCATCATAATCAGTATCATCAGCAGCAGCATCATCATAATAATCATCAGCATCATCATCATCAGCAGCATCATCAGCATCATCATCATCATCATCATCATCATCTGCATCATCATCAGCGTCATCGTCATCAGCATCATCATCAGCAGCAGCATCCGAATAATAATCATCAGCATCATCAGCCGCAGCAGAATCATCAGCAGCAGCAGCATCAGCATCATCCTTCTCATCAGCATCATCACCATCATCATCAGCAGCATCATCATCATCGTCCTCATCCTCGTCTACGTCGTCGTCCTCGTCATCATCCTCATCATCATCGCCACCATCATCAGCAGCATCAGCATCGTCGTCCTCGTCCTCATCCTCGTCCTTTTCCTCGTCATCATCCTCATCATCATCACCACCATCATCACCACCATCATCACCGTCATCATCATCATCAGCATCATCATCAGCAGCATCACCATCATCATCATCATCATCATCATCATCATCATCATCATCATCATCGTCATCATCATCATCTTCATCACGAGTATCACCATGACCATCTCCATCTTCCACCTCATAGACTTCATCCCTCCGTCCTCGGCTTCCTCATCCTCCTCCTTAGGTTCCTCCTCATCCTATTCGTCCTCCTCCTCCTTCTCCTCATCCTCACCCTTCTCCTCCTCATATTCCTCCTCCTCCTCCTTCTCCTCCTCGCCGTCCTCATTGTGCACAATCGCAACTACCACAGAAATGATCCCCGTCCACCCCCCTTCTCCTCCCTCCTTTTTCCTTTTAGAAAGACCTTTCCTGTCGCACCCCCGAGACGTGTCAGTGGGGCCAGCCCCGGGCGTCTCGCCCGAGACTGCCTCACCACGCATCGGTACGAAGTTTGAAAATGTTCAACAGCGTCACGGACGGAGGTGGGGTCGTTTTCGGAGTGCTGTTCTCGCTTCGCCACGCATGTTCGTTTCAAGAGTTCGCAGGTGCTTCACGGATGGAGGGCGGGCTGTTTCCGAATTACGGTTCTCGCTTCTATGCCGCGCACGTTCGTCTTAATAACGCAAGAGCTGCACGGATGGAGGCATGTCGTGTTCAAAATGTTAATCTCGCCTTAACGCCGTGCGCATTCGCTTCAAATGATTGCGAGAGCTTCACCGACGGAGGGCGGTCATTTTTCAAAAGATGACCCTCGCTATGGCGCCACGCACACTCGCTTCAAAGGGTTGCAGGAGCTTCACCGGTGGATGACAGTTTCTTTTCACAATGTGCTTATCGTCTGAGCGCCGAGCACATTCGCCGTAAACGTGGGCTGGAGCTTCAGGTATGGAGGGTGGCTCTTGTTCAAAATGTGGTTCTCTTTTTAGCGCGGTTCACATTCGTTTTGAAAAGCGTGCAAGAGTTTCACAGGTTCTTATTCTTCACATCCCAGGAATGGTTTCTCTACACGAAATAGGCTTGCGGGGGTGCAACTGTCACGTTGATTCGCTGTGTCAAAGTCCCAGGAATGGTGTTCTGGCACGACGCAGGATCGTCGGGGTGCAACCGTCAAGTTGTTTCGCCGCGTTGAAGTCCAAAGAGTAGCGTCTTGGCACGATTGAGAATGATCAGACGGTTGGCTTCCAGTGTGGCTTTAAATGCAGGGCAAATAAGTGTTTGCAGGGGCTTGTGAAGTGGGAACTTGGAGGGAGGGCTTATTGCAACATCTTTGATGCGCCTTTGGCTTACACCGGTCCTTCTCCTCATCCGCCTCCTCCCCATCCTCACCCTCATCCGCATCACCATCTTCATCCTCGTCAACCTCATCCTCCACGTCTCCCTCCCTCCCTCCTTCCCTCCTCTCCTCCGCCTCCTCCTCCCTCCTCCGCATCCTCCTTCTCCTCTCCCACCCTCCTGCCCGCGCATTGTGTCCGCTATCCCCTAGGCCATGTGGCAAGGGCAGCCTTACGGCGCGGGGCAGCAGATGTACTACGTGCCCCCTGGACAGGACGCGTACGGTCAGCAGGGCGGCATGGCTGGCGGCTGGATGGGCCAGACACAGCCGCACTACATGGCCGATGGCTGCGGCCAAGGAGCTTCATCGAACCCGTGCTCGAGGGAAGAGGAGGATAGGATAGGTGAGGACAGGATAGGATAGGACCAAAAACGATGGCGTGTGAAGCTTAAACTCCACGTGCCTGCGAGCGAATGCCCCTGACCCAAGCCACGGCAGAAGAGAAGCGCCTCCAGAGCCAAAAGTAAAGGCTGCGGGTGGGGGGGGAGAGCCGCATGTCGAGGACGACCGCCTCGAAGAAGCATTATTCTAGACCCTTCGCGTAGCCCCACCAGCCTTACTGTCCCGACTTCCTGGTCCTTCCGACGCTATGCATACTTGCACGCTGGCAGTACGACTCAGTTTCAGCTGCCCCCCCTCTCGCCGGTCCGCCGCTGAGCTGCTGCGTGAGGTCCCGGTTAGCCGCTGTAGGTGTGGCCACCCTCCGTCGCTTTAGTTTAATTGGTCGCTGCGTGCCCCGCTTTGACTGGACTCGCCGCCGGCGCGCTCGCCTGCGGCCGCTGACGAAAAAGTAGCCCCACCAGCATCGGCGTTGGGTAATTCGGCTCTTGCGCGGCCCGCTCGGACCGGACTCGCCGCGGCGCGCCTGCGGCTGCCGACGAAAAAGTAGCCCCCCACCAGCCCATTCAGAAGCTGCACCGATCAGGGGAGGGATGAGACCCAGGCCCTCTCCGCGTGCTCCTCTCCGCATCCCCGGATCGGTGCATCCCTCCTCCCTCCAGGCCAGGAGGAGGAGGAGGTGCATCCCCAGGCCAGGAGGAGGAGGAGGAGGAGGAGGAGGAGGAGGAGGAGGAGGACACCCCCCAGCCCCACCAGGCCCAGGCGAGCTGCACTGATCAGGGGATGCGGAGAGGAGCGCGCGGTGGAGCAGCGGGGGCGAAGGGCAGCCGCCGTGCAGCCCGAGAGAGCGGGAGGGAGGGAGGCCGGCCGCACCACACCGAGGAGGAGGAGGAGGAGGAGGAGGAGGAGGAGGAGGAGGAGGAATTGGAGGAGGAGGAGGAGGAGGAGGAGGAGGAGGAGGAGGAGAGGAGAGGGAGGAGAGAGGAGAGGAGGAGGGGAGAGGACACCACACACACACACGCACACACACACACACACACACACACACACACGCACACACGCACACGCACACGCACACGCACACGCACACGCACACGCACACGCACACGCACACGCACACTCACACGCACACGCACACGCACACGCACACGCACACGCACGCCCACACACACACTTGCACGCACTGGCACGGAGAACGGCCACCGCAATAGACATAGCAGACATCTGAGAGATGCGTGCGCTGATCCCAGAGATCCGACGCTCCCAAAAGATTGGAGCTGCAGGATTTTGACAGTTTTGGACCTCTGGGGGCCCTCGCCGGGCCTCGGGAGCATGAAAAAGCAACCCGGGACGAAAAACCGGCCCTGGGGAAGTGGTCTGGACCTCCAGGGCCCACGCATCGAAAAAATTGGAGCGGCCGAATGTTTGGGGTTGTACGGGGGAGGACACCCGGTCGCTCAAGGCGATCATAACAGACCTGACATCGCGGCCACAATCGCGCGGGGCTCGGGGCCCAGGCGAGACAGCAGAAGTCCGCGAAAACGGAGCATTCGCACGTGACTGGAGCTTCCAGACCGAGGCTTTGCAGGAAAGGCCGCCGCTGGATACTGGGCGACCCGAGCTGCAAACTGACGGATCCACGTGGGTTGCCTCATCGATGCCGAGCGGTTGACTCAACATTCGCGGAAGCCGAATCCCAATGGCCAATTTTGACCATATGGTTTCCGCGCCATTCCCCAACGCTCGTGTGCTCGCCACACATGCAACATTTCGGCATCAGTCAGCGGGAAGGGCGCCCCAGCAATCTGGCCCAGCACAATGTCATTCCTTGTTCGAGCTAAACAAGGGCAAAATTGCGTGCATGACAAGTGGCGCATTTGGGAGGGTGAATACGCCAAAAACCGAAGTCATGTTTGCAAATGGCGTCGTACTTCGACGGGGCCAGAAGACGATTGCGCGGTCGATCCCCAGGACGGCGCGGGGACCCAGAGGACTCGCTGGAGGAAGGCGCCCCCCGCACTGGCGCTGATGCTGCTCGCCGCACTCCACCGTGCGACTTCCAGAGCCCAACAGGCGATCCAGAACGCGTGCGGCCGAGCCCTGGGGAGAGGAGGCGCGGCCCGCCGCTTCGACGGCGGAGCGCCGCCCGTGCCAGCAGGCACCGGCCGCCGAGCCGCAGGGTCCACTTGGGCTCGAGCAGGGCTGGATTCCCGCGGCAGGGCTTCCGGGATGCGGACTCCGAGCTTGCACGCCGTCACTTGCCCATGGAGCCGGGCGTGCGGCCGTCGACGCGGGCTGGTGGTTGTCTTGGCGGCGGCCCAGGGCTGAGCCGCCCACCACTCCGCGCGTCCGCGCCGCACGTCCGCCCACGGAGGCGCTGCGACATCTGGCGCGAAGTGGGCGCACTCGGCCCAGGAGTGCGTGGCGGAGGCGGCGGGGCGCCCGCAGGACGGGCACTCTGCCGCCTCCGCCGCGTCGGAGTCTGGGCGGCCCCTCCGCGCCAGATCGCAAGCAGATCAAGGTTGTCATCAGCCAGAGCCCAGCGCCACCGAGTCCGGGGGGACTTGGAAGAAGCGTCGAGGTCGGTGGCCTGCATCCCCTCTTCGTCGTGCTGGGGCCTGCGGACGCGACCCTGGAGGAGCTGGGCGCGCGCACAGGACGCAGGCTGCGCCGGCCGCGGGGAGAGGAGGCGTCGAAGAGAAGCGGGCATCTGGAGGCAGCCGCGGCTTCGTCCACGGCGGTTGCCGCACGAGGGTCGAGACCAGGCCCGGCGCGGACCCAGACGGCCAGCAGCCCGGGGGAGCCCAGGTGGGAGACCAGCCCGAAGCTCGCCGCGTGGTGCGCACGACCGCCGGAGGGGCGGCTGTGGGAAGCGGGCGGCCTGGCGGAGGGCCTGGAGGGAGGTGCCGAAGACGGGGTGGAGCTCGAGGCGTTCGGGCTACCATCGCCGCTGGTCCCACCAGGTGCAGCGGGTGCGAGCGACACACCAGAAAGCGAGCTTGACCAGGAAGGCGGGGGGGCACTCCACGAAGGGGAGCGCACTGGTATTTCGAGTCGACGGACATGACGCCGTCTGGGCGCGAATGCCCAAGCTGCCGGGGGTATGTAGCAGCAGCTTGCGAGTGCAATCTTCGATGACCCCACAACCGTCGCGAGGGCCCTCGGACTGGAGGGGAAGCGAGGTGGCTTCCAGGACACGCTCGAGTGCCGAAGTGCTACGCGCACCCGTCGTCCTCCCAGAGCTGCCGGTGCGCACATCATAGCGCTACGGAAGCATAACGGCCCCCAGGGCCTTGCCAGAGCAGGGGCACCCTGCGGGGATGCCGGCGGTGGGGCCGAGGTCCAGCGCCGTGGTCGATTACACGTACAAGAGTGACCCTTCGCCGGAGTGACTTTTTGGTGCTGGCCCACTGGGGTCCACCGGCCGCTGAAATAGTGCGACGGTAGCAGCGGCCTGCTCGCTGGGGTGTCGTCCCTCCCCCGCGCCCCCCGAAAGCCGCGCACCAAGGCTCGCTCGTGCCCGGGGTCGCTCTTGCGCGCAGCCGACGTGGCCCTGGAGACGCGGCACGCGCGGGGTGCGGCGGCCCACGCCGTCGACCGTGCGTCGCTCGGCTCTGCGTGCTTCCCCCCCTGGCCGGGCCGGCCCTGCTGCTGCTTTTGCCGCTGTGATGGCCCGCTGCGGAGCCGATGCCACGCGCTCGTGGAGGACGATCAACGGAGAGGAGGCAGGCTGCCGGATGATTTCCAGATGTCTCAGACATGTTCAAACTATGTGTTTGAAGTGTTGGAACATGTGTTAAACATGGTTCGAAGATGTTTGAAACATGTCGAACACATGTTAAAGACATGTTGAATTCGATGATAGAACGGTTAGAGTGTCCATTGTCATGGCATCCACAGCCCCACATCCACGGCAGCGCAGCCGACTGGCCCAGTTCCCGTCTGGTCTGCGCGTGCAGCTTCACGTCGGAAAGTGACGGCCCGCAGGAACATCGCGTTCCCAGCTGA